AGTGAACTGGGTCTATTTAGCCTTGAGAAAAGAAGACTGAGAGGGGATCTGATCCAGGTTTAGAAATATCTGAGGGGTGGGGGCCATAGTGGTGAGGCCAGTCTCTTTTCAGTGGTACGTGGAGACAGGACAAGGGGAAATGGACATAAGCTGCAGCATAGGAAGTTTCGCATGAATGTGCGTAAGAACTTCTTTATGGTGAGGGTGACGGAGCACTGGAACAGGCTGCCCAGGGAGGTGGTGGAGTCTCCTTCTCTGGAGATGTTCAAGTCTCGCCTGGACGCCTACCTGTGTGACCTGCTGTAGGGAACCTGCTTTGGCACCTCTCGATCACCTCTCAATGATCACTAGAGGTCCCTTCCAACCCCTACAATTCTGTGAAAACCTCTTTATGAGACTAAGGCCATTAAACCAAAATGACCACTTAACCTAACGAGTTTTGTTCCATCACGTCCTAAGTTTGCAAATGAAATCATCATCAATCAAGTCTCGCTTTGCTGAATTTAAGCAGTGGAACATGCCAGCCATGTTACAAACCGATTCACGTAGTATAAGTTCATCCCAACCAACCGATAATATTAAGATTGATTCATTGAATATTTTCCAAAGATATAATTTCCCAGAACAGGCTCTGTACTGTCAAAGTCAGGACAATACAGAAGGCAGACTCGCACAATGCAAAGTTTGGAGCACTTGGCACAGAGGGATATTTCCCTTCCCAGCTGCAAATCAGAACAAAGAATTGTTTCTGTCTGATTCATTATGTAAACATACAAACAGCTTCACAACGATAAGAACAAAAATGTGAGACTTCTGTTGGTGAGCCTTACACGAGTAGGCGAACAGAAAAAAAAAAAAGATAATCTAAGTCCAAAGCATTGTATTTTTTCCCTATCCGGTATTTTCAGACATAAAACAATCTTCCCTCAGCACAAGTAGGAGAATCATGCTAAATTCAAGTATATCTAGCTAATGACATTAAAAAAAAAAACTATTCCAAAGCCTCAAACATTAAAAATTTCTGTATTTTTAGTTATATCTGTTTTCTTTCAAGAACAAAATATCTAGCCTAAGATCTTTCACATCAGTGGACTTCTTCCCCTGAAAAAGGGCCCAGACCTATTGACAGAATCATAAACAAATAAAGACAAGTTCCTGACTGAAGTAGACACACCAGTGAAGAATCAAGAACATCATGAAGAAATAACAAGTGTCCCTAATGTTACAAGTAAAAATGGTGGATTTTTGGAGTCAAACCTAGTGAAGATTACCAATAGCTGCCTGGCTCACTTGTGAAAGTAACTTCACCAACTTCAACAGCACTTCTCCTATAAATCAGTTGACCAGCGCCAAATTCCATCTCCACCTTAAACATTAAACCCCTCATTGTGCACTGTTTAGCAGTGCAGGTTCCATCCACACACGCCTACCAAATTCCCTCAATATCATCCTGAAATCCTGGCTTCACAAAGGGCAGAGCACTAGCTTTTGCAAGCAACAGACTTGCCTACCTTTTTAAACAAACACCTCTAAAAATAGATGACGGTAGGGAGCACATTATTAAAAGTCAGCATATCGCTTCCTGACATTCGTGGCTCTCCCTGTTCAGTGAACCTCCAAAACAAAGGAAAGGGTATGAGTAAAGCTGGGACTTTGCAAACTGCAGCAGGGAAAGAGGAAAGGCCAAAGAAGCCAAGACAGAAAGCACAGAAGCATTAAGAATGAGAGAACCTGACTGGCAACTTTTTTAAAGCATCTATCAGAGACATACATTTATGATATCTCATTTTCCTTGTAGCTGGGTTTTGGAATTTTTTAAGCTTCATTACACACTTTCAAGCTCAAGCTCATTTTGCCTTTTTTTTTTTTGTACAGTCAAGAATTAGGAATTAGTAAATTCAACTCCATTAATGAAGGAAGTATCCAGGCTAACATATCCAGTGTATCAGTTCTTAAACACAGATGTGCCTATCTCTTATGTTTGGTTTAGTTAAATTACTGTGAAATTTGGGAAGCTGGGATTCCCTCATCAACCCAATTTTATTTATTTCTTTTAAAGCTTGCCTCAGCTTTTAGAGCACTCGGCCTTGTGCAAGCCCTTAGGAAGCCAGAAAGGCGGCTGCCAAGTTACAGTTAAGGATCCAGCTAACCTAAGAACTGCCACCAGAAGTCTCACATCCACTGTTTTTTGCTCTCCAGTTATATTCCCAGCCTTCACTGTGAATGTCTCCCCCTCTGTGTTTGCACCAAACCTTTTGCATCTGCTCTGAGCAAACTTTTACCTACTTCATTAGATGGAACTGGACAAAACTTTTCCACTGCTCTCTCTCAGTTAATCTTTGGCTATTTTAGCAAGTTATAGTCACTCAAGGACAGGTCTGACAAGCATTAGTATCAACAGAGAGTCAACACGAGGAGGGAGCAGCAGCGATTGTGAGGCCAGCTCCTGTCACTAGATTGAATCCCCGCAGCCCTCAAAGGACGTTGGGCCTGCAGTATCCCTGCCCTGCTGACAGTTAACTAATACATCAGGAGAGCATCAATAGAGGCTTTTTTTTTTCTTTTCTTTTTCTGCATGAAAATAGTAGTTATTTCCCCAGAAGGTTTTATATTTCAGTAAGAAATCTCATGAGCTTAAATGGTGCAGGGAAGAGCTAGGAGATGATGAGATTAAACCACATCTTCAGAGCACTCTGGGAACTTAAACGGCACGGTTTATCACTGAGGAAGGCAAGAAGACTGGCCAGAGTTCACAAACAAATTACAGAAGAAATGCCATTTTCTCTTCATAAAGTATGTTCTAGTTTAAACAGGAGTTAGTTCAGGAAGCACAAACAGCCCGCGCTGTGCAGGCTGCGCCTGACTGCCAGTCATACCCCAGCTATACAGGTTGTCACGCCATGGACGTTTCTGAAGTTCACACTACAGGTGACCAGTTACAGTTCAATTCTGTCAACATTTTCTGGTATAATTCCGATATGCTCCAGAAAGAAAACAAGTGGAAGGTGACAAACATGTCTGCAACTTCAAAAGGAAAACAATTTCCAAGCGAAATGGTAACTTGTTAGTTGGCCGAGTTCCTAAAGGCTGTTTACTGAGCCTGTCACTCCCTTACACTGTTAAAAAAAGGTATCCTTTATTACAGCTGACATTTGAACAAGTTCAGCAAATTAATATCCAGAGCAGGATAATTAGCTGAAAGGGACCTAACTCATGGGTGAAGCTTAAAGAAAATAAAGCAAGCTTCTCTTCAGTAATGCTCTGTTAACAGCTAATCGAGATAATACTATTAAAAAGAACGATGTCAAGATTTCGCTATCACTTCCCAATTTTAACATGCAAGCAAATTACTGTTTCTTGCAAAGTGTGAAAAATGAATGAAAAAATCTTGTACTATCTGATTTCAATACAGTTCTGGCTAGTATATGAGAAGTGACATGTCCTTTGTTCTAAGGCCATAATGACTGCAACAATTTATTTAACAAAAAGTGAAGTGAAAGCTTCCATACATACACACAAAACAGCGTTATGAGACCTCACAAGGATAGATGCTGCACCCAAAGTGAGGTAAAAAAAAAAACAAATAAACAAAAAACATAAACCATTTGAGTGCAGTGTCTGCTTGGCACACCATGTATTATGCTTTACATCTACACCTGTAATTTTATTTTTATTGCTACCTGCAGTAGTTACGTGTGTAGTTGTGTGAGTACTTACACATGATTCAGACACACAGCCCTCAAATCAGTGGAAACCACCAATAATAAAACTAAGTCCATTAACAATATTCTAAAAACCAGTACAGGCTATGAATTTCACTATATTAATACTTCCTCAACTGCATTAATGATGTTGAAACCGACACCACTTCTTAGGTGCATCTAAAAAGGTTTATTGAAACATGAGTGAGTAACCCTCTGCTCAGACAGCTGGAGACTGTTACTTAGCCATCAAATCCTACCCATTGAAGATGCGGGAATTCTCTGATACTGAGAAACACCACACAAGCAGCGCGCTGTATGACAGGTGCCTTGGTAAAACAAAGCATTTGCATGGCTGGGCAAGTTTTGGAATCGGATCAGTCTGAAAGTATTACTTCAAATACCAAAAAGCCACTTGCAACATTTAGACAGCTTGGAGATGACACTTACCCACCTAGACGAGCAGAGACAAAACAGCACTGCCACTTTCATCAACCAGTATAGTAAATAAATACTGTTAATTTAGAAAGAGACCGGTTTCGGATAGGATGGGCTAATTTTGACTGTTGCGTTAATAACAGATACTGTTGAAGAACAACGCAAAACAATTTCACTTCCTTCTTTTTTTTTTTTTTCCCCTCTCAATCAGATCCCACTACTCCTAGAGCAAGACACACGCTACAGCCCTGGAGAGCTGCCCCGGCCCTCACGGCCTCCCCGGCACGCAGCTCCCTGTGCGGAGCAGCCCTCAGTCCCCCGCCCCTTAGCCCGACCGCTGCCGCACGCCAGCCGTGCCCGTCGCAGCCCTCGGAGCCCCCGCATCCACTCAGCGGGCAGGCGGCGGGGCTCGGGGCGGGCAGCCGGGACACCGGGCCCAGCAGCGCTCAGGCCTTCCCTCTGCACAGCCCGGCAGCCGCAGGGCAGGGGCACGGGGCGGCACCAGCCCGGCCTCGACCCGCTTTCCGTGCCCGCAGCCATGCCGGGCGAGGCGAGAGGCGGAAATCCAGCAGAAAACAACTTCGGAGCCGGCGCTGCCCCTCCGAGCCCTGCGCGCAGCCGGGCGGCGGCGAGGCCCGAGCGCGGCGCGACACGGCGGTAGCCCCCTCCTCCCCTCCCGGCGGCGAGGGGCAGGCCCGGGGAGGGGACTCGCTCCGCAGACCCCGAAACTCAGCCCTCCTCTCCCTCGGTGCCCGAGCGGAGCTACGGCCGCCGACCCCTCCGCGGGGCCCGCTCGGCGCAGGGGGCGCCCCGGAGCCGCCCCGTCGCCCCCCGTGCTGTGCCGTGCCGGGGGCCTCTCACCTTGGTGGCCATGGCGCTGCCGCTGCGGGCTCGGCTGCCGCTCTGCCCTCCCCGCCGCGGCCCGCGGCTGCTCGCTCCCCGCGTCCGGCCCGCCCGCCGCCGCTGGGCCGCGCAGGCGGCTCCACCTCACCTCCCCCGGTCGCCGCCGCCGCCTGGGGGCCGCTGGGCGGCTCAGCAGCTGGCCCGGCGCTGGGCGGGCGGCGGCTGGTGTGGCGGCGAAGCCGTGCCGTCTCCCCGCAGCCCCTGCACTCCTGCGCGGCACGCGGGGGCAGTGGCGGGACCGCTTTGCCCCCCCTTTCGCCGAGAGGGCTGGGGGGGGAGGGCGAGCCGCCCCGGACAGACCCCGAGGGTCCCCTGTGCCCCGGGCCTGCAGCGCCTTTACGTTTCGGTTGGGTTTTGCCTGTAATTCCTTTTCCTGGTGCCGGGCGGCTCTGGGGCTGTGGAGTGCCCCGCGGTGTCGACGACGCGGGCAGCACTGCTCCGGCCGTCAGAAGCCATTGAAAAGCTTGCAGAACTCTTTCGTTATCTGTTTGGAGTCGTTATCCCTCGGTTTCCTCTGCACAAGGATTCTAAACAGCGAAGAGAGGAATTTCCACTCTGCCGGGCTCACTCTGCAGCTTTCACCGAGACAGAACATGTCTCTGGTGGCACTGGTACTGCTGGGCCTTGGTGCGTGGCAGCAGGGATATGGCCCCGAGAATCCAGCCAGGGTCTGTGCCATTGCTGTCACTCTGCCAATATCTCACAAACAATAACTCAGTTACCAGCTTTGGGGAAGGTGTGATGGGAAACCAAAACAAAGGGCAAGGAGGAAATCAGGTGGCAAAAGTTATACAAGGTTCATGGACCACCTCTGCCAAGTGTACGTGGTGTCTTACCAGGACTAATCTTCTGAAGAGGTGTGATTGCTAGGTTTGCCAAGGAGATTTCTAAAAGGGAGGTTGTGATCCTGCTCAGCTCCTTCTGTCCATATTTCCCTACCTGTAGAAATTACAAACCTCTCCTCTGCTAGTGGTATGCTTTCTCAGGGAGGGAGCTCTATTAAAAGAGAAAAATACATCTTTGTTTTTTTAAGTAGGAAAAAGAAATTCCATTTAAATAGGACAAGTGAAATAGTTTCTATGGAGAGTGTGGGTGAGGAACTGAGAGGAACCTGGAGCAGTCACCACTATTTTTCAGATGGTTCGGATGATTAATTAGAGAAGTTTTCAAATGTCATTACCTCAGGTTTTAACTTCTCCATAATTCACTGAACGTGTACAGTGATTCCAAGTTTTTATTCCTCACAACAGCAGTGCATGCAACCCACAGCATGCTTTTGCAACACTGTCTTTAATTTGAGGCCCAGTTTTGCTGCTGCATGGTTGCTCCCAGCTTGGTATTTCATCTGTTTCAGTCACCCTTCATGAGCAAACCTCTCTGAAGCCCTGCTTCCTTTTTATGCTTAGGGTCCCTGGTCCTTAACTTTCTTGATAATAATATTTTCAATGCAGCACACTGAAATTTGGTCTTAGAGGTGACCTAGTGAGGATTTTTGCAGACTTTGGTACAAGGGGTGGGGGGATAGTCTCCACTCCAACCCCATACTGTGCAGAGAACAACCCAGCAGAAGTCTGGCTGAGCGGTGGGAAGAAGGCTGGGAGAAGGGGCTTCCAAGCCAGGGTAGAAAACAAGCCCAATTGCTTCCTGGATGAAATTGGGACTTACCCATTTAAGTTAGATATTAGGAAGAAATTCTTTACTGTGAGGGTGGTGAGACACAGCTTACCCAATGAGGTTGTGGATACCCTCTCCCTGGAAGCATTCAAGGCCTGGCTGGATGGGGCTCTGAGCAAACTGGTCTAGAAGGAGGTGGCCCTACCTATAGCAGGGGGGTTGGAGCTAGATGATCTTAAGGGTCCCTTCCAACCCAAACCATTCTAAGATTCTATAGAAATATTTTGTCTCTGGTATTTTTAGAGCCAGAAAATGGAAACCTTTAGCTGACAGAGCAAAACATAATAATGTTTGTTTGTATGAACTCCTTCTTTACATAATAAGCTGTTTGGATAGAGATTCTATGCAGAAGTGCCATCTAAGTTTGCTACAGTTTAAAGGTGGCATAGTTGTGTCCACAGTGCTAGCAAGGAAAAAGGGCCTGGACTGATTGCTGATTGGATTAAGCCCACCTGTTTAGGATTAGATTAGCTCCCAGAACAGCAGATTTTTCTGGTCAGCAGACTGTTGGAGTGGTTTAAAAGTGAATTAGCCAGGTAGCTAATGGTTAAGCAATGTGCAGGTATAGGTATTCCCTGCTCAAGGAAACTCCTTGGCCCTGCTGATGGACTAGACCTGATATAGACAGGGGCTAAAGCGTGGCCACATTTTGTAGGACCAATGCATAGTTAAGGAAACCTTGGATTTTATAAAAATGACGGAGGTCTGAAATCAAGAGACCCACCATTGTCTTATTTAGAGCCGGCCAGCAGGTAGGTATGTGAAGCACCCTTTCTCCATTTACCTGATGTTATGTTTTTCTATGTGATCTATAATAAACCTGGGGCTTTCACATCACTTGGAGCCTGTTATTCTTTACCTGTGGTCAGGACAACTGCCAGAAGAGCTTCATTTACAGCTGCTAACCGGTGTGCTTTAACAAACACTGCTTGGCCACCTAGGGAGTAAGGAACAAAGCCACAATTTATTCAGCCTCTCTATATGCCTAAAATCTCCAGTTTATAGTTTTCCACTGTGAACTACTCATAAAAATAATTCTTGCTTGACAAGTTTTAGGGATGAAGGAAATGCTAACATTTCTTTCCAGGTGAAAGAATGTTCTGGAACTATTATTCTGATGTGTTCTTTCCAGTATTGTTCACAATTAATTGCCGTTGATTCTTGCATTAACAAAGACATTCTTAGGAATCACTTTGGATTACAAATAAATGCATCTCTTCCTACTGCAAGCTTTATTGTTGCTTAACACAAGGGGTCAAATAACAATGAATAGCCACTAATAGTCACCTAGTATTTCCAATTTTCCAAATTTGTTAATTTTCTGCTACCAAGCTGAGTCCTAATTAATTAAGACTGGATGTTTGCTTAGCTCTAGACATACAAGAAGTCTTAGTGGCATTTCTGTAGGCTGGAAACAGAGGGCTCCGCATGGAGCTTATCAGCTTTGAAACACAATTGGCTCATTATTCACTTTGTAACAAAGCCCCAACAAATGCTTTAATAGTTAAATATCTCAACCTCAGAAAAACAAAAAGAATCAACAACAAAATCAAATCTTTTACTGAGCACATAAGTTACTTTTTTTTTTAAATATGTTCTCTATAGATTACAACTATGTATGTTTGTTGTTAACCTGTCTGCATCATTTTCCAAGAACAATTGCTGCTACAGAGTTCGTTGAGAAGAGATCTGTTGTAGACCATAATCAAGTGAAAAGCTCCCACCAAGTGCTATGCAATTTTGAAAATTAAAGATGAACTCTGGGAAAGGATATTTGCCAAAAATTGTTCTCTGCTGGGCAAGGCCTGCCTGTAGTTTCACCATCAACTGAAAGTCAGTCCTTGTCATACAAGGCTGTGCTGACTTCAGCAAGCCTGGAGGGGAACGATAAAAAAAAAAACAACAGAACAGTGTTATTTAGATAACCTTCATGCAGAAAACCATCCAGGGAAAGAACTATGACTTGCATGTCTCTAAGCTGCTGTCCTCAGGCATGCCTTGAGCTGGAGCACCTTGGATTTCTCCCTGCTAGCAGGTTCTGCTCTTAGCACTACTCAGACAATGCATGGGAATTTACCAATTTTTCAGTATCACCCATCTTTCCTGTGTCATCCCTGTGCATTGATGAGTTAGCATTAAAGGCTATTCTTACTGAATTTTTCAGTGTTCATTTCATTGAACAATTTAATTACCTTTCATCAACTAAGTGGCATCAACTTTGCAAATGGAACAGCAGAATGTCAAACACATAAGTGTCAAAATCTCAGTAAGAGACGAACTGAGAGCATGTTGTCCCAGGCCTTCATTTTCAGAGGTATTTCATGAAGTGAGCAGTGATTTTTCTTCCTTCCTCGTTGAGAGGCTATCGATGAGATGTGAACAAGGTTAGCTCCATGTTCTGTGCTGTTAGCTACGGAATGAAAACCAAATATAACTACTAATTGATCATGAAAACCTAACAATGACAAGGGGTTGATTAATTACAAAGATATTTCATACTTCTTCTGCTCCTTTTTTAATCATCATGTGTAACTTCATCACCTGATATGCTTCATGTTTAAATAAAAATGGGCACAGATTTCCATTTTCTGAAGCCTTCAAATGAAGTGCTTAAGTAATGGCTTAACTTGAAGATAAAAAATGACAGTAGGGTATTCTTTATCTTCAGAAGCCATGCATGCATGTTTTCATGTAACTCCCCAACAGGTTCTTCAGGCATCGTGTTTCCTCCCAGCTGACCAGAGTTTCTTTAAACAGGAGTTAACACAATTTCTTTGATGTTTGCCAGATAGCAATATGAATTAAATATTGCTTTGTCCTATTTCCTCTGTCCTTCCCTCTCCAAAATTGGACAGAAAATAATAGGAGTAGCCTTATACATGAAACCTAAGGTTAGCTGCACAGAGAGCGCAGGCAACAGGAGAGCAGCTGGAAACAGTATGCATACCTCTGTACAGTGTGCCATCATCTGCAAATTTCATATGACAAAAATACCTATTGAAACATTCCAAGGAAAAATGTTATTATTTTCCTTTATATTATGGTCTGAGTCTTTGACCATAAAGGTCCCAAACTCATTTAGTTGGAACTCTCTGTGGCAGATCCTTTTAAACAGTACTCTGCACCTGGGGCTGGAAGGTCACTATGTAACTAGCCTATCTGGAAATACGGTAGAATGTTAGGGTAAGACTTCCCCAGCTTGAAAAGCTGCTATAGAAAAATGTACCCAGAATTGCACTAAAATTCCTTTCAGTTTTTCATTCTCAGAAATCGTCCCTGAATAAGCAGTTCTGAGAAAACCTGTACTTTGTACATTTGCTTTGGACTTCAGGGTTTTGTATCCTTAGAGCTG